TTAGAACACAGTTTTAATGAGCGTTACATGTGCGTAGTTGCGTGACAACAATGACCTAGTTTCCACCGAAGGTTCGAACCAGGTCAGAATGCAAGAACCAACTAATTACAGCCAATCGAGCATTCCCCTGTTCGATTATAACAAGGGATTACTGGACTGTAGTTGGTTGGTTCTTGCATTCTGATTCAGTTTGAAGGTTACATGACATTTTTCCGAAAACTAGACTGGAAAATGTTAGTACTTACAAAAACCCCTAGGCAACGCGATTTTAATTTATACGGGTTAGTGACACTGTTGAAGTAGTAAGTTGCGGTATGGACTTATGGACGAACGTATGGCTTCTGCACACTGGACGCGGAAATGCTTACCGCGCAGCAAAATGTGATGCGGTAGCCAATAAACTTACAGCTCCTAATATGTTCATTGGTTAGGCGTCTCATTTTGCCGTGCGACAAGCGTTTCCGCATCCAATGTGCAGGAGTCATTAAGATCTGAGCACAAGAATTGTCAAAGTAATGCACAAGCTTTGGCGTATGACGTACGATTTATTGCCGTTTCTTGGCTTGCAATTTACTTACGTCTACAATTTAAGTTTGAGTAAGTGTTACGACAATTTTTGTGCTTAGACTCTTATGGACTTACTACTTCAATGTTGTTACTAATCCGTACAAATTAAAATCATGTTGCTTAGGAGTTTTTGTTAGTACCAACATTTTCCAGTCTAGTTTTTCAGAAAAATGTTATGTAACCGGTTTGAATCCTCGATGGAAACTAGGCTAATGAGTACATTTACATGGCACTTTTAATCGAGTTTAATATTATAATATCTGTAATTATGAAAGCCAATCACAGTCGTTCCATTCGTCGGAAGAACAGCTATGATTGGCTAATTTCATAACTACGGATATTAAACCCGATTAATGCCTCCGACACAGCGCGATGTTCGTCGCACACGACACGCGATATCCAATAAGTGTACAACTTTAACGATGTTCTCATTCTAAAGATATACTCTTATCGGATATCGTGTCGCGCGCGACAAATATGTGCGTCGGAGCCATAAGTGTGCGTATAAAGCATGAAGCAGACTCTTGCATAACACGTAATGCATAAGAAAATGTACCAATCAAAGTCCTTCGTTTCCTTTCTTTCCATGAAATAAAGAACTCTGATTGGTTGGATTTCTTATGTCTTATGTGTGTGTTATGCGTTATGCTAAAGTCTGTGCTCCCCGCTTAAGGATATATCCATACAACTTTCATAGCCGCGTATGCATAAACAAAATTATCCAATTGCATTTCTCCTATAACGACGCACGTAAAATGTGATTGGATAATATTTTTTATTCATATGATTATGCGGCTATGCAAGTTTGTGGAACACTGTTAGTCCTAACAGAGGTCAATAATACAATACTTTTTATATTTCGTTATAAGCTTTATAGCGGGGAGCACAAACTCTTACATAATGCACAACATATAAAACATAAGAAATCCAACCAATCAGAGTTCTTTTTCATGGAAAGAAACGAAGGACTTTGATTGGTATTTCTTTGATTTTCTTATGCATTACGTGTTATGCGTTATGTCTGTGCTCCCCGTTTAAGCCCTAAACACAATGCGAAGGCAACAACGATAGAAATATCAATAGCAATAGCGATCCAGTAAATGAATGGATTAAAATGGATTGAAATTTTTTCCTATCCAAATGCGTATTTTAAATAGCGAATACTTTTTTTGGATTTAATTGGATTCAATTGGATTCGATTAGATTCAATTGGATGTAATTGGATTGAAAAACTGCATTTCTTATTTAAAATTTTTAATTGAACAGAGTATTCACAATGCACATAAAAAGCTAATATTATTTTTAGATTGAAAGGCATAGAGATATACTCCATGCAATTCCTATAAATGAATAAAAATGCATTCAAGATTAAAAACCATTCATTTTAATATTCGTGAATCAATATTTCTGAAAATTTGAATCCATTTCAATTCATTTCAATCCATTCTTGTTTGCTAGGGATAGCAATAGAAACAGAGGAATCCTACATATGGAAATGCATGGCTGTGGTCGATTTGGACGCTCATGCGCTTTAAGCGCTTGTAATCATTATTCTTTATCGTTCATTACACGTAAAATAAGAATAGAAGTACTGAAAAGCGTTGAAAGCGTCCAAATCGACCGCAGCCCATACGTCAATGCACATAAGCACATAGTCCTATATGCATTGACATATGCATTCCCATATGTTGGATTCCTCTGTTCCTATCGCTATCGCTATTTCTATCGTTGTTGCCTTTGCATTGTGCTTAAAAGTGCTCTTAAATGTTATATATTGGGTCATCTAAAAAGTATCCGCGGTACTTTGTCACTAGATATATGACCGTCAACACACATCTAGTGACAAAAAACCGCGGATACTTTTTAGATGACCCAATATTTAATAAGTACTGAATAAATTGGAAATAAAATTTTTTTTTATTATTTTAAATAGAGAAAGTCAGTTATAAACTAGATTACTTGGTATAACTAACAAATATAATGGTTATTAAATTATATGTCAGTATATTTTTACTACCAAATAAATGCACGAAGAAGGAAAGCAGCTGCAGTTGCAGCTATATTTCAATTGACCGTGTTTGTATTTTATAGATTTATATAGATTTTTTTTTATTTTATAGATTTATATTTATAGGATATAATCGTAATTTTATATAATGCGAACATATGCGATGTCCTAATTAAATTGAAAATATACTTTTATTTTTTATTTACTTATTTTTCTTCTTTAATTACATTTATTATTTCCATCTTGCATATAAATATCTTTGCATAGCCGTTTATGTAGATTAGCGCCGAGACACTACTAGTGTCACCAGATTTGTAACTTATGTTGAATATTCACGAATATTCGTTAAAAGCCGAAAAATTTCAGCGAACAGCGATTACTCGCTAGTGAACAGCGAATGATCACGTGACCTTTAATCGCGGTGATTTTCTCGCTGCGTGAATTTGCACCTGACTTGCGTAACATTGTAATGGCATTAAAAAAAAAACGCTATAGAGAAATAGAAAGTCAGTTACGTGATTGGTTACCTCCTTAATTTACGCATGTGCAGTTCAATTTTGCGCCCACTGAAATCTGAAGTTACGCTACTGTGTATATACTGTAGTAATAACTTGAAAATTACATTTTTTTTAATATCACTTTTAAAATACGGGAGAAATATATGTATTAAAAATGAAAGATTAGGGTAAAAGAGAAGATCCAGGTGTGATATTGAAAATTCGTCATCACAATAATATTTATTATAATCATAATGTAAGAATATATTTTACTACTTAGACTGAGTTGTTCCATCTTTCGTTAAATTTCAGCTCACTATCTTACTGTCTTACTCTCTTACGCTCTCACTCTTTTGTTTATCCAGTAGATAAGTTACATGTAGTTTATTCGAAGATGGAACAACCGACTCTTAGGGCGGCAGGAGTCATGGTGGAGATCTCTGTCGAAAACAAATTTCTTTCATCCTAAATTATAGCTATAATATTGAGAAAATCACAATATAATTACGATATTTACAATCAGGAAAATCAGCTGAAGTCGCATACAGAGCTTTTTTTTCGGAAAAAGAATACAATAAAAATTCAATATTTCACTTGATTTGCATTATAATGCAGTTGAGGTGCAAATTTTATTTATTATGTTTAAACTACTTAAATTGCAAAATTTAGCTCTGTATGCACCTTTGCAGCTTTATAAAAAAAGAAGCCGAAAAAAAAATCGTGACGAGATAGCTTCTATGAGACAAAATATGGTACCTCGCAATTATATCCCTACCAAGTGAGTAACAAACAGATGATTTTATTTATTATACTATCTTTAAGAATAAAATTTCAAAATTCGGCTCTTTAGGAGGCTTCATAGTTTCGTAAAATATAAATAAAAAACGAGTTTCATGACAAAATATTTTTTCTACAAGGCTAAATATATGGTGGAATACAGACATGTATCTGCACCGCAGATATAAAGTGTAAATGAGTTTTCTCGTCGTGGCGTTATTGCTGGCCCTTAAATAATAATTATAATAGCATTAATCAATTGAGAAACATAGGTACTTATATTCTTAAAACTGCTAAATTTTATTGCTACAGTAAAGACCAAGTAGTTTACGAAAACTCACAGATCGCCATACCTAGTAGCACGAGAGAAAAATAGGATTCAACAATTAAGACACTTAGTTGAGTATATCGCAGATATCATAAAGTATACCAATGCCACTGTGTCCTTAATAGAATAAATGATAGGAAATCTATAACTTCGTTGAGACATTTAGAGATTTAAATTTAAACGTATTGATTCAATCGCAACTGCAAAAAGGATCGTTTCAACCTTCGCATATTATATGGAAGTAAGCAGAAATCAAATAATAAATAAATAGTAACAAAGTATTGTATATAAATCAATAAAATACAATCGATACAAATTGTAATCACGAAGGTATTATCAAAACAAATTAACTAACTTTTAACAAACTTGATTGTACAGTGGCGGTATCACAGTTACTTTGATATCATACAATACTTGTAATCGCCCATCTCTCTCACAAGTTGAACTAAAACAGTCGCATATTATAGATGATAGATAACTGTATGCAACTATATAATTTTCTTACATAAATTTATAAACACATATTTTCCAGAATGTAAGATATTTTTAGAATGTCTGTGCAATTTTTAAATGTATTTGTTATAAAAATAAATAAATAAGCTGAAAATTGTATTTCTTATAAGCAAATCAACGTATTATCGATTGTGATTGGATTTGGAGTTTAAAAAACGAAATTTAAAAAAGTTATAATCGCGTTAAAAAAAATAAATAAATAGTATGTGATAGCACCTGGATACATAGACCCGGCTTAGCTTTGGTTTTTTTCTTGTAAAATACATCGACGTTAATATCTAATTACGGTAACATTAAGAAATGCAATATGTGACCAATATTGCTGCTTTATTTACGTTACTGTTTTACGGGGACCTTAATGAAGGGCTACCTCATTTGCATTTTTCGCTGTTGCCATACCGCGAACTTCCTATATGCGGTAGTTAACAATTGATTAAGATGACTCGTCAAGTGTTGACTAACCGCAGAGAATTCTCTTTGCACACGATCCTGGGAGAAATGAAATTTATATATTATAAAATAATGAATTTTGTATAAATGAATAAATGCTGCTTATTTGTATATGTGAAATAAACATTTACTTACTTCAAAGGGTTTTAGTTTAGCGGAATGAAATCTATGTAAAGCTTCGTGCATTCTGATTGCTTTTTCTTCAAGCTGTGGTGTTGTCGGAGGAAAACTTCGCCAAAAGTGTCTCAACAACTCACATATACACACATAGACGTTACGTAATTCCTTCTCTAAATCTTTCGGTATTAACTCTATAATATGTATATTTACATAATTATTTACCTATACTTATGTATTTATATCTATATATATGTAAATTATTTCACATTGACTAAAGAATGTAAAGTCACTAATAATAATTTACTGAATATCTGGAGACACGGTAGTGCCTTGGTGCTAAGACAAGTGAATTATATATACTATGTCATTTATAATATGAAGAATATATTCTTACGTCCAAGACTTTCTTCTCGGAAACCTTTCATTAAAGATCCACCAGGTGTTAATTCACCTAAAGCTGATACTGCCGCAGCTGGACTAACTAAAGAAGTAGCTGTTTGTCGCGGTAATGTACTACCGGATAACCATCCAGAAGCTTCTTTTTTTAAGTGATTTAATGTAATGAACAATTCTTCCGAAGTTGGTTCTGTACTTCCGCAGTCTGGTATAGGTCCATGCAAATATCTATCTACATGCATCAGATTTAATGGTGCTCCATTATTTGTATTTATGTCACAGCTCTTATCAAGATCATCATAAGTTATCTTCTCTTGTATTCTACGCTGTAAAAATGTATTTAAAAAGGTTAAATAAATCATCCTCAATCCTACCAAACATAAATTATATATGCATCAAATGGAATGGAAAGTTGTACTTTTTTAGTCTTTGGTTCATCATCTGGTTCGTTGTTTGCTATTTTACTTGCAGATGGTGTAGATCCATTTAATTGTGGTTGATTGGTTTGTATCAACTGTTTGGCAGTGCTAGCTTTCATAACCATTATGCTATGTTGATTAAATCTCTTGATCATATTTTGATGTACTATATTTCCAGATGTTTTATCTGCTTTACTACAACCACTTCCATAATTTTCATCTAGTGTTTGATCTTCAAAGGAAGTAATATCTACCAAAGGATCATTTATCCCAGTTTGAAGATCTTTCTTAAGTTCTTGATCATCTATTTTGGCACATTCGGTAAAAAGATCCTTGGTCCCAGTATTGATACGGTCTCTGTGAAAATAATGTGATTGAAAGAATTTTGTCCAGAAATCCGACTCTGACATTTTATGAGGCACATTTTCTTGATGTTTTCTTTTAACAGCTGGATAAGTCTTAAATATACATTCTATCACATCGACAGTTAAATTGTATTTTAATCCATTGCAACCATCAGTTTGTGGCTTGATATCTGCCTAAAAAATTCGATTAATCCGTTATTTAGAATTTATATGTTGAGCAAAAATCTAACATTTTTATAAAAGGAAGCAGTATTACCAGGAAAGCACTATTGACACCTATCTCTTGACGTTGTATCTTTTTAGCTTGTGTATACTCTGCAGCATGTTGTGACCAAAATTCTTCCGATGATATAACTTGCGTAATTACTAGATCACGATATAATTGAAGCAACATAGGATGTTCTTGAAGAGTTCTAAAAAAAAAGAAATGTATTTGTAAACAAATTGTCTCATCAATTATTCATGAAGTACTCTTCACAAATATTAACTTAAATTAAATTAACCTTACTTATTTTTTTCTTCTAGCTCCTTGTTAACTTTCCGTTTAAATTTTGGTAGTAATTGTTGCAATAACTCTTTTACATCGTCGCGATCTTTAATTTGTGCTTCTTGTCCATTTTTATTTACAAAATGAAATGTAGATGATGTGCTATCATGTAACACTACTTGTAGTTGTATTTTTGATTTTCCCTCTGGTGATATTTTTTGTACTACAAAGAAGAACTCAATAATTTTATTTGTTTATTGATCAGTTTATAATTTATATATATTATTTCACAATAACATATATGAATAAACATACATACACATATGTATATGTGTGTGTATGTGTGTGTATGTGTGTATACATATATATAAGCTAACACATTATTGAACCAATTACATCAATCTGTTATATTTGTACACAACTTCTTAAAGTCTTACATTTAATATCAGCATATTTATGACTGACAGAAACAGTATCTCTGTTATCAAGCATCCATGCTATTCGTTCGTTCATTACATATAAGGTACCATCTCCTTTTTTATAACGCACTTGACTCACTTGCATCAGGACATCTTCGGAGGATGTAGTCATGGTGGATGTGAAGCGTAATACAATTCTTTTAAAAACAGTAAATACAATCCTAAAAATTATATCCTATTAAGAATAATATACATAGATATATGTATTATTTTAACGGAACAAATTATACTCATTATTCATAAAATTTTATCTTAGAAAAAAATTGTTACTGCTCATAAATATACTGAACAAAAAATAATTTTTTTGTACAAGATTGACTGATAAGAATAATCATTGTGGAAACAGAGAAAGTATCACTAATTTACATTGTGTGTGATAAAAAAAATTCTTGTAAAGTTGTAGAATAGAAAACGTGAGACGTGTTGTGTTCCATAGAATTCGAGATATTTTCATGTCCTTGAATATCGCGTGACGATTGTACTCGATGCCTCTGTATAATCACTTTGAATATCTTTGGAAAAAAAATACATTACAGAAGAGTAATGATCGCGACGAGAAATCGTTCCGAGAAAATAGCAATTTGCATCGCGGTGCGTCAAATACCAAACGATGTCTATGATAAGAACCCATGCAAGTTAACAGTGAGCGTGAAAGATAAATAGTCGTGCATTTCCCATCGACCGAGTATCTTTCGCGTTACGAAAATCAGCTTTCCACACATTTCAGTAAGAGAAACGCGTGTTTCCCGTTAACAGCGAGCACAATTCGTTATAAAAACGCACGTTTACCAGTGGCGGATTGCCGAATGCCACGGAACAACGTAAAGATCCGCCAAGCGGCACGGCCATGTGCAGAAACACACCACGACAGTAGACGCATCGCAAGCGCGGCCACGGACAGACGACAATACTATCGACATCGACCTGTGCCGATCTGTGGCGACTGACAGCACTAGGTTACTTAAGTGACGGCTCAAGTCGTCACCGCTTCCTGTACTAGACACATTTATCTATCATTCATTATCTCGTATCCATCGTGTAAACTGCACACACGCAGAAAATGAATAATTTTGCGTATTTATCAGCAAAAATCCACGGTGACAGCAAAATCCGCTAGCAGAAATTTATCCAAAATTTTTCGAATGTAAGACCCTGCGCACAATGGAGGAAATATTAAGAATAGGAATAAATATTAAGATTTCAACGTATCAGAAACCGTGTTTTCTGGTGTAACTGATATCTGATAAGCTGAAATCTTAGAGGCTTTCTACAATAAGCTATTAGTAATAAACCAGAAGTCAGAAGCTAAAAATTGACCAATCATAGTCAATATTATTCTTCTCAATATTCGACTGTGATTGGTTTCTAGTTTCTGACTTCTGATTTATTACTTATGGTTTGTTATAAAAAGCCTATTAAGCGGGGAGCATCAGACTCTTGCATAACGCATAACACGTAATGCATAGGAAAATGTACCAATCAAAGTCCTTCGTTTCCTTCCTTTTCATGAATAATAAATAAAGAACCCTAGTTGATTCAATTTCTTATGCTTCATATATTATGCGTTATGCAAGGCTCTGTGTTCTCCGCTTTATGGTATATCTACACAAACTTACATAGCCGCGCATAACATATGCATAAAAACAATTATCCAATTGCATTTCTCTTACAAAGTTGCACGTAAAATGTGATTGGATAATTTTCGTTATGTATACATTTATGCGACTATGCAAGTTGTGTGAATATATCTTAAAGCGAGGAGCACAGACTCTTATATAACGCATAAAACATGAGGCATAAGAAAATCAATCAATCAGAGTTCTTTATTTCACAGAAAGGAAGGAAATAAAACACTTTGATTGGTTGATTTTCTCATGCGTCATGTGTTATGCATTATACAAGAGTCTGTATTCCCCGCTTAACAATCACGAAAAGAACACCATTGGCGCATGTAATCGGATGTGCGATCACAAGGGCGCTATTCTTGAAAAGAAACATACAAGATACAAAAGTCTAAAGAGTATGCATACGTGACGTATATATACGTGACGTTTACTCTAGTATTTCCTTTAAGTCGATTCTATATTAATTGCAAGCCGATCGCAAGTTGTTGCGACAGCCAATCTGAAGCTTGCATTTTGAAATCAATGCTTTATATTGGCTGTCGCAACAAACTCGCAATCGGCTTGCAACTAATGTAGAACTGCTTTATAAACTTTACTTTGGTATACGTTTCTTTTCAAGACTAGGGGCCTTGATACGCGCGAAATTACAATTTGGTTCTAGCACAAAAGAAGAGAAAAAGATTTGTTTTCTGTTCCTGCACAAGGAACTGTCATTGGACTAGAACTGAACTAAACTGAACTGTGTAATGCAGAACTAAAGTTAGAATCCCATGAGGTGTATTTATCTCGCGTATCGCGTAATCAATCAGAAGTTATTCGTTCACCGCTGTTGTGGTTTCGTGTTTTACTGATTACTGATTGGCTTAAAGTCTGCGGCACATGATGCTTGTTTTCCTGCTGGATTGCTAGTAGATTAGAATCTTGTCATCGTATTGGCTGCTAGCACTGACATCGTCAATCATCTTCATCAATTTTCGCCAAAATGATGAATCCAATGAATAAATGCTTGAAGTTCGACACTATCCAATTATGAGCGAAGCAAGCTGACTCTGACTATGGCCCACTTGATTGGCCAAATATTTCAAAGCATTTTTTTATTGATCAATTTTTTGAATTGTTTAACGCTTCTTTATTCGCGGCATAGTGGAAGTAACTTCGCCAGTTTTTGGATGCGTTCCAAGTTACACATGAAATGTACGATGTATCGTTTTATCCATCTTTATTAATTAGTAAACAACAACAAATGATGCATCATGCGTTTCATGCTCGAAATTCGAAACGGATCCTTTATTCTCCATGAAAAGGATAGAGGCGATAGCGAAAAGCTTTTTAACTAACTTAACTGCTTTGCGTAGCGGTGGAGTGGGGATAAAACGCCAGCTTGTAAAGACTTAAACAGGCACAGGCAACAAAAAATAATGAGCTGTCAGAGCCAATCAGAGATTCTGGGATATAATATCGAACTTATACACCAGAGCTCTGATTGGACGGCTCGTTATTCCCTGTACTTATTGTGTTTAAGCGTGACGCTTGACGCTTACATGTAATGCACCTTAAGAGTTCGCTTGTATCGCAAATATCATACATTTAAACACTCTATGCCCTCCGAGGCGACAATAATGGATGATTATCGAATGCCTGCGAAACGGGCAAAATTTGATATTCCTAATAAGAATTTGAAGTATCATAGAATACAGGAAGAAATTTCTACGAATAAAAACGCTCAGAATGATGATCTTTGGGGTGATGATTTTGACGAAGAAGAAATTGAGGAAATGGATTTAATTGCATCTCAAGCTTGTGTACAGGTAATGCTGTTGATGTAAGTTTAGTTTTAAAATGTGCCATGAAATTTATTTATAATCTGAATCTTTACTTTCAAGGAGACTAACTTGTTAAATAATTTAAGACTACATGATTTGAATTCGGTGAAATCAGATTTTCCAGAGAGAACAACTGCCTATAATGAAACATCATGTTCAAAATTACCACAAGCTATAGAAAAGTCTAACTCAGACTTGTTAACAAAGAATGTACAGAGTACAAGTCAGAATCATCAAAACATAACAGAAATGAATTATTCTCAGTTTAGAAATAAGTTAATAGATAAAAAAGATCATAATTCAACTTTCCAAAAGAGCAATAAAATTATTGTACATGGTAATATCATTGTAGAAATACTGATAATTACAAAAAAAATATCTTTATTTTCATGATTTCTTTTACATATATTTGTAGATGGTAAAGAATTGGAAAAATTAAAAACTGAAAACAAAAAATTGTTGAATGATTTTATAACTAAAGATGGTGAAACTGCATTTTTACGGCAACAACTACAACAAACTCAGTTACGAGTTGAAAATGAGAAATTAGAAAAGATGCGTTTAATTGAAGAACAAGCCAATCGTCATAGATCAGAGATTAACAAAATTTATAAAGAAAAAGAACAGCTAAAAACACGATTAGAATTACAAGTGAGTTTTATTCTTTTGCTCAATATCACAAAAATATATGATAACATTATCTATTAATGTATAGAATCTGGAAATAGGAAATCTTCAAGAACGTTATAAACTATTAGAATCTGGAAATATTAAACTAAGGGAACCACAAATGTCATACACAAACTCTTCTACTGATAAGTGCAAATATGTTATTCCAATAAATCGGTAAGATAAAAAATAATCCAAATTTGATTTTTATGAACTTAACATTCAAAGTACCTATAACTAATATGCATTTAATAGGATCACGAATAGGAATCTAAAAATGAAAGAAGTATGTGTACAAGCTAATATTTACAAGAAAAATGATTATCAACTTAAGACATTTAATATTTGTGAGTATACTATTATAAAATTATTTAAAAGATATTTAGGACGTTCAACAGTCCAATCCATATGATTTCTCAGATACTTCCGACTTATTGAAAAACAGTTAAAAGGTGAATATTCATCTGTTTTATATAGGCTACAACTTTAATTACAACTTTAATTACAAATTTAAATTAATACCGAAATGTTACTTTTATTGATGTTTTATTGATTTTATTGATGTTTAATATCAAATTTGTAACAGCAGTACAACCTCTGACTAGAACACAGAACATACATACATATATATATACATATATCTACTTATTTAATAAAATATGCAATAAAATCAATAAAACATCAACAAAAGTGATATTTCAACAGTGATTTGAATTTGTCTTGAAGATTCCTATAATATTACAACAAAAATTATATGTTATTTAAAAAAATTTTTTTTATCGTATGTTATAGCCTATATAAAATAGATGAATACTGACTTTTCAATCTTTTTTAACTGTCGAAAGTGTGAAAAATCATACATACTATTGCGCTGAACACCTTGTATATTATTGTGACAATTTTGTAATACCACAAATATTTTTTAGATTTTCCTCTTGCAAGAATTTCAGAGTTAATGTTTGGAGTATCACTACCAGAAAAATCCATCGTTAACATTAAAGTCATAGAAAAAACTGGAAGGAGAAATTTACCTATTTTGCAAGAAGAAGAAACATTTAGAATTTTTGGTAAATGTTATTCACAGAATTGTTCTGCAAAAATATACATATTAATATAATCATATAAAGTATAAGAGCAACCATATCAGGTTACTTCAAGAAATGTATACTTTCTTGAAAAATTTTCCAGACAAAAGATATAGGATTCTAAGTGCCATATTAATAGAAATGTTAGTGTGACCTTGGAACATATTTGGATGGAGATCTGGGTGCTTCCTGGCAGGATATTATATCATCCTTATTATTTACTGAATGTTGAACGAGGATGATATAACACTCGAAAAGCACCGAGGTGGGAATCAGAACACTCTTTTGGATAGCATTGTTGGAGTTACGTAAAAATCATTTCGAAATTTTTTAATGCAAATTCTTATTTTTTATATCATATTCTTGTAGTTGATTTCGAGTGTTAGATATTTTAACCCTCAGCTGGCACGCTATATCTGATTCGAGATTTTGGAGCACATAAGTATGTCGCTCTCACGTTTTCAATCACGAACAAATTTTTTTTTAATCGCCAAAAATTCAGAAAGAAGAATGAATGGGTACGAAAATCGAAAAATTGAAGATATTCGAAATATTCAAGAAAAAAGAGAAATAAAAACATTGAAATTCGCGAGAAAACCGGATTTTCTTTGAAAATTTGTAATTTTTTATGGAGAAAATTGTTGGAAAGATTTTTCTAGTGGAGTTTTAATGGTAATCGAACGTACTTTAAGTAAAACATACCATTAGTTCGATTAGTTTCAAAAGCTATATTTGTGTTCGGCAATGTGAAGTTAGGTCACCAATCTAATAAATGAGTTTAAACTTTATAAACAGTAAAATAATGCACAATTATAATATAAAAATGACATACGTGAAAAATATTATTAAACACATTTTCTAAGAATATCGAGCTATATATTTATTCAGACTTTGTTTCAAGTGTTTAGA